TGGAAAGAGATGGATAAGGTAAAGATTGGCGATGTATCGGCTGCTGCCTTCAAGGAATTTCTCCAGTTTTTCTACTTTGGCCAAGTCAAGCTGACAATGGGAAACGTCGCTGCAGTAATGAATCTCGGTGAAAAGTACAATGTGGCCGAGTGTTTGGCGGTGTGCAGCAAGTTCCTCAAGAACAATCTCTGCGAGGACAACGTATGTCGACACTATGGATTGGCAATTCTCTTCAATCAACACGAATTGAAAAAAGCTTGTGAAACGGTCATCGGCCTCAACACAACTGCTGTGTTTCATTCAAATGGCTTTCTGACATGCGATCGAAAATTGCTGGCTGAGATTTTGAAGCTGGATTGGATGTCGTGCACAGAGATCGAGCTTTTTGAGGCATGCATGTCGTGGGTAAAAGCAACTGGCAAACAAGACAATTTAACCAAGGAACTCGTACAAACTCAACTCGGCCAACTCTTCTACGAAATTCGCTTTGGTTCGATGGCACTGGATGAGTTTACCGCTTTGGTTCCAACAAATGGGCAATTATTCACGAATACTGAATATACTGACATCATTCAATCAATTACAAACAAGGAATTTAATGCGGCGATGTTCAACGGAAATCGCGAGAAACGCTGCGATTTGGATCCATGGAACGAGAAAAATGAAATTAAATGCATTCGATTTTCCTCGTTACGTTATTCCACCAAACCATACTTTTTGAAAAATCTAGAAACAACCAAGTTCACCACCAACGAACCACTTTTGCTAAAATCCATCGGTCTTGATGTCATCAAAAGATATTCCAGCGGCAAATATATTAATTGTGAAGATGTGCCAACCGCAATAACTATCGTCGAAGTGTCCGGTTCCGATGATTTCAAAAAAGAAGTGGAGAAATACAATGGAAAAGCAAACATGAAGAGTTCAGATTTTATAAGTGTCAAGATGCCCAAACCAATTCTTGTCAAACCAGGATTCATGTACGAATTTCGATTGAAGCAAAATCCTCCAAAATATTGTGCCATTGGCGGTCTACTGAAATCGGAAGTTCAAGTGGATAATGGAATCACCATTCAATTCCATGATGACCCATTGATTCCGGATGATATCACATCAACCGGCCTTATATACAAACTTCGTTTCTACCGAATCGGAAATTAATTCATGGCAGAATATGAAATTCTTTCATTTTTCCCTAGCATTATTTCATTGAGATTGAATAATTCAATGTTATCAAAGTAGAGAGAAAATTCTGTGATGAACTGCAACTGACAATCACTGTCTTTGCTTGTTCTTATTTGTCTTCATTTTTGGCGGTGCAATTAAATGGCAACACTCACTGATTGCTGTCAAATGTTCCAGTTTCGGTTCGTACAATGCTATGGCCCACCACTACTATGCACTAATACCAAGGCGCAAACGGGTCGAACCTCAAATGTCAAACAAGAGAACGTCACTTTTGCACAATTGCTTCATATGGTTTATCGAAACGATTGAAAAGTGTGATTGAATATTGAAAAAATAATATTTTCGTTGAATTAATCCGAAATTCCCATATTTTGTAGAAAACAAGTAGACTAGAGCCAAAAGGCTGTATAATTTCATAGATTGGCCATATCAATCAGGCGCTTGTTTATTATTAGTGAACAAAAATTTTGTCCAGAGATAGCAATAAATTGAAGGTAAAACCACATTTACCATTATCCGTATTGAATTTTTCAATTGAAATGAGAATTGTATGTAGTGGAGTATAAATGGGTTCAAAAAAAACAAGTATCATATCGCGACTAGAAATTCATTTTCTCTGCAGATAATCGGCGAATTTCACCACAGTCATCAAACATAACCTCAACCAGATCACCAATTAGCGACTAAAGGTAAAGTTGACAGTGAATTTCTATGTTTATTTCTCAGCTCATTCGTTGTTTTCTAATTGAATTCAAGACTAGTTGCAAATTATTGAAATATATTACCTTTTTGCCATTGATTTTACAGCGCTTTGGATTTGCCACAAAGGGAAACCAACCAGCACGAATTTTTGATCCGATAAACAGCGACTATTCAAGTCAATTGTTCTCGGCGATTGGGAAAACGTTGTACTTGAACTCTGAATTGGCCGATGTTCACTTTATTTTCGGATCAAATGATGACAATGAACGTGTGCCGGCGAATAAAGCTCATTTGATGGCCGCCAGCGATGTCTTTGCCACAATGTTCAATGGATCGTGGAAGGAGAAGGATGAGGTGGAGATTGCTGATACATCCGCTGCTGCCTTCAAGGAATTTCTTCAATTCTTCTACTACGGTCAAGTCAAGCTGACGATGGAAAACGTCGGTGCGGTGATGAATCTTGGCGAAAAATACAATGTGGCCGCGTGTTTGGCGGTGTGCAGCAAGTTCCTGAAGAACAATCTTAACGACGAAAATGTCTGTCGACACTATGGATTAGCAATTTTGTTGAATCAAAAGAGCTTGAAAAAGACATGTGAAATTTTCATTGGATTCAATATCAAAGCAGTGTTCAAGTCAACAGGCTTCCTGACATGCGATCAGAAGGTGCTGGGCGAAATTTTGAAGCTGGATTGGATGCTGTGCTCAGAGGTTGAGCTCTTCGAGGCATGCATGTCGTGGGTCAGAACGTCAAGCAAAAAGGATGTTTTAACCAAGAAGCTCGTGTTGGCCCGACTCCGAGACTCGTTCTACGAAATTCGCTTCGGTTCGATGTCTTTACAAACGTTCGCTGCATTGATTCCAACGTATGGTCAGCTTTTCGTTGGTGACAATTATGCAAACATCATTCAAATGATTGCTGACGATGGATTTCAACCAAATAAATTCAGCGGAAACCGTGAAAAACGCTACGATTCGGAACCATGGCACGAGAAAGATGAGATTATGTGCAGTCGAGTGCTCTCGCGTTTTAATTCCACCCAACCGTATTTTTTGAAAAATTTGGAAACAACCAAGTTCTCCACCAACGAACCACTTTTGCTAAAATCCATCTTTCTTAGTTCCATCGGAAAATATCACAACGGCAAATTTATTAGTTGTGAAAATGTTCCAACCGAAATAACCATCGTTGAAGTGTCCGGTACCGGTGATTCCAAAAAAGAAGTGGAGAAATACAATGGAAAAGCAAACTTGGAGAGTGCAATGTCTACACATGTTGGTATTCTCAAACCGATTCTGATCAAACCAGGATTCATGTACGAAATTCGATTGAAACAAAATCCTCCAGAAAATTGTGCTGCGGGTATTCTACTGAAATCGGAAGTTCAAATGGATGACGGCATCACCATCCAATTTCATGACGACCCATTGATTCCGGATGATTTTTCGTCAACCGGTCTTGTATATTTTCTTCTTTTTTACCGATTCGAAAAGTAATTCATGGCATATTATATGAAAGTGGATTATAAGATTCTTCAATTTTATCCTGATTGCGATTGAATTATCCAATAGAATCAAAACCCATAAAAAATCCAACAAAATTTCCATAATTTCCTTTGAAAAACCCTCACTTGATTAAGATTGAATTATTTCAAATTCACTACACTACAATGACTATTGTTTTGTGTGGTCACTGGTCACTGGTCAATGTAGTAAAAAATCCGTTTATTTTTTAAATAAAACACAAAAGCAGATGAATCGCATTTTTTGTTCAAAATTGTTTTGTTAAGTCATTGGTTTTGGATTGCATTTCACGCTTAGACTCGTTCTGATTGGAAATTGTTAATGAGAGCTACGTTCATTTGCAAAAGACATATGACCTGAATCGAAAAATAAGTGAGGAATACATCCACATTAGGGACGATGAACAATAAATGAAGTAGGTGAGAAAGCAAGTAATGGATTCACCATGGTGAATGGAGACTTTAGCACTGGATTGAATTATTTGAGTTCACATAGCAATTGATATGCATTTCCCAGTAGGGAATTTTTGTTTCGAATAAAATAATTCAAAATTTAAATGGGAATTGATTCAAATGAGACTATAAGAAAAGGAATCTTTCATTTTCGAAGAAATGTATTTTCGTGTTTGTTTTTTAAGCAATTAAATCTTCATCATTTAAGCCAAGAAAATCCGTTAATTTCAATGTTTTCATTTTTTCGCTCATGCTGAGGCAATCAAATAGTACTATTTGCTGTCAAAGAGAATGAGTTCAGATGTATTCCCATTGCCGTAACACTGCACTAATACCAACACGCTGTGTGTTACACACAAAACGAATCATAAATGTCAAACCAAAGAACGTCATTC